CTTTGTGTTCATGAGTTCTCATCATCTAGCTTCTACTAATACATAAGAACATGCAGTGTTTTGATTTCTGTTCCTGTCTTAGTTTGCTAATAACCTCCAGCTCCATTCATATTCCTGCAAATGATATCTCATTCCTTTTTATGGCTGCATAGTATTCCATGGTATATATGCACCACGTTTTCTTTATCCAATCAGTCACTGATGAGCATTTAGGTTGATTCCATGTCTTTCCTATTATGAATAGTGCTTATAGTGCTGCGTTGAACATTCATGTGCTTGTGTCTTTATGATAGAACGATTTATATTCCTCTGGGTATATATACAGTAATGAGATTGCTGGGTTAAATGGTAGCTCTGCTTTTAGCTCTTTGAGGAATTGCTATACTGCTTTCCACAATGGTTAAACTAATTTACAATGACATCAACAATGTATAAGTGTTCCCTTTTCTCTGCAACCTTGCCAGCGTCTGTTATATTTTGACTTTAAAATGTTTCGGTTCTACGTTCACCGATTCTAGTAATTAATTATTTGCCTTATAACAAAAAATGTGATGCATCATTTTATAGCCAATTATGAGTTATCACCATGACTATTCATTTTTTGAACTCTTTTCTAAATGTTTCATTCTCATTAATTATTACTGGGTACAAATATAAGTTTTAAAACCTAACAAATAACAAGTTTTAAAAACATAGTGACTTATATTTATATACTACTTTACAAGTTTCAAAATATTTTTATTATTTTATTCTTCTAATTTTGCCAATGTTGATATTTAGAGTTATCTATCTATCAGAAGGTGAGTGGTCAATACTTTCAGATGTTATCGAAATAGAGCAGAAAAGTTCTCAGTAACTTTTGACAATGAAGGAATTTTCAGTAATCAAAATAAGAGCCACTTCAAAGGAACAATGAGAGCAAAATCCAGGTGACTTTTGGTTGAAAAAAAAGAATAAGCAGCAACTAAAAAAATATAGTAAGAAGAAAATATTTAAAATTTCGTTCCAGTAACAGTAAAGAAACAAGGGACTTAACATTTTGAGATATTTTAGTAATGTCATGAAATGATTATGGTTATTTTCAGTCCTCTCCTATGAACTTTGTTATATTTCAGCAGCATTAAGGTAAAATACTCAATACTTTAGGAAATTCACTTCGCTCCTAAAATGTTCAAATCATTTTCTGATTTCTGAAGACAGGTATATAATTTAGACTTTTAAAAAATTCTAATTTCTGGGCCGGTTGAAAAAAGCTTCCTGTAATTTGGAACACCTTTAAGTGCTTATTAAATTTGGTCAAATTTATCTATCCATTCATCCATCTAATGTATTTATTTATTGGCTTACTTGCTTGAACTCTTTGTCTAATTGCCTCAACTCTCTAATTCTAATACAAATCAAATTAAAAGCACACATTTCAACTATAAAATGAGAAAGCCAATTCCCCATAGTTACTAAGCGTTTGGCTTATTATTAAGTTCTGTAGTGAAGTCTCAATGCTTCAGAGTTGCTTGGTTGTTAACAATATCTATTGTTTCAGTAGCAGAAAATCTTTCTGAAATGATAAAGAGTTGAGAGAAGGTATGAATGCTGTCAAACAGCTCTTTTGTCTGAAATCACAATTGTATAGACTAAAGCAACTGCATGCCCAGCTTGAGAGATGGGTCATTGAATGGACTCTGGCACATACTTTATCTGAACCCAAGGTATTTGAAATGACATTTGAAACAGTGAGTTCTGAGCTCTAGCTGATATAATAATACAAAAAGACTCAAAAACAAAGCAAGCCATACATTCCACATTTCTCAAGACAGATAAATAATTCACACTTTTTAAAAAAGTCCTGGTTAATGGACTGGTTGAAAAAAAAAAAAAAAAGCTTCTTTTTTTTGGGAAACACTTGAATATTTATGATTTTATAAAGACTGTATAATTTAGGAATAAAACTATTAATAGCCTGAAAATCTCTATCCAATTAATTGCAATATCTTCTTTCTGCTTATCCTTGTAGGAGATGATAGCCATTCCCACAAAGTTGCTGCCTTCTTTACCTTGTTTTGACAACATACCCTTACAAATGATAATGCTGACACATACATCTATGTTAGTCTTTCTATTGAGAGAACATCATTCACTGAAGCAGCATGTTACTGAGGAAGTATATTGAGGCATAGAGTAGGAAGAATGTTTAGGCTGAGATTGCAGAAGGAAACCCTTATAGGGGAGAAAAATATATAATTTTTACTCATTTTAAGTTCTCCAGCTGGGACCATGCCAATTAGACTAACCAAAGACAGATTAACAAGAGAAAAATACACACATTTAATTAATAGAAGTTTTATGTGACACAGAAGCATTCATAAGGAAATGAACAAAGAGATGGTTGAGCCTGAGTGTCTTCATACTAGGTATGATGAAGAGTAGAAAGTTACGGAAAGAATGTGATAGGGCATGGTTAAGAGCTGAGAATAATAAATGGATCATTTAGCATCTCCCATTTGTTCAGAATTCTGGTTCCCGCCATCTTTGGAAATAAGAATATTTCTTTCCTCTGGAGGTAGGGAGGTCACCTCTCACATGAGGATCTTATGACCTACTCCAGGGGAGAAGGGGAAGGTTAGAGAGTTTTTGCAGCATCTGCTCTTTCTCTGACCTTCAGAGGAAAGGGGAAAGTTAGGTAGTACTTCTTGCACCTGCTGTTTCTCAAATTCCTTCAATATGCCAAAGTGCCGAACGTGGAGTAGCCTGTTCATAACCTTTTCACTCTGTTTAGTCAGTGAATCATAGTTTCATTCTAAGTTCAAGCAAGGAAGTATCAAAGTATAATTTTCAAAAGTTAAAAATATGACTATAATGAAAATCTAGAATGAACACAGATCAGAAAATTACTTATGGCATTATTGAGGGAAACAGACCAGTACTGCTGGTCTAACCTCATTAGAGGAATTGGGTATTTATGGGCATTTTGATGAAAAATAATATTTAAATGAGATTCATAGGTTAGGCATATAAATGTTTAATGCCTCACAGGGCAATAAAATCATAGCCTTTGAGTTTATCCTTTTTATCAGAGAAGTATCTACAAATTAACATGTAATTTCAGCGTATGTCTGATCAAAAAAATAAGTCAAAGACAGATACACTCTTCTAGAGCTGCAGTATCAAGAATAGTGTAGGGGCAAAAGGAACTTTGCTTCTGTCCTCTGAAGATTCTGTACTTTCAGTCTCTAGAATAAACTGGACAGCAGACATATTAACAGGAGAAAGGGGATGTCAATTTATTACATGCATACTCACTGGGGTTCCACAAAGTATATGACTCCAAAAAAGAGCAGATGGCTGAAGTTAATATACTATCCTAAGCTACAGAAAACAATAAAGGCATGGATTTGAGGTGGTGACAGGTTATGGGAGGTTGAAGGGAGGAAATGCATGGAGGAGAAAGGCTGTCTTGATATGCAGATTCTCTCAGGTAACAGTCCTCAGCAAAAGAGGTGGTGTGTTGACCTTCGGCCTCTTTTCCTCTGACTTAATCTTTCCGGTCTGATGAGATTATAGGGAGTGGGTTTATGACAGATTTTTCTTTTCTTCTCCTCTCTGCTCCTCTTTTCTCCTCTCTTGTCTCTCCTCTTCTTTTTTCTTCTGAAGGAACGTCCCTTTGTCAGATAAAAGAACTTCAGAGAAAACCCATCCCTGCATTGGCTGCTCCCCAGGTGCTTTGCAGTCTGAAGTCCAAAGCAGCATATATTTTGGGATATTTTTTTCTGAGCCCTGGCAGTAGCCACTAGGTACCTATGTCATTTAAATTTAAATTCCAATTAATTAAAATTAGATATGATAAAAATTCAGTTTTCCAGTCATAGTAACCACATGTTAAATTTGGCTAGTGGTTACTTTATTAGACAGCATAAATAGGAATATTTTTATTGTTGACCTAAAAGGAAGAAGCTGAGGCCAAATTAATCTAAGTAGAAAGTTTACTTGGGCTAAGCTTGAGAATTGCAACCCAGTAGCACCGATTCAATTGGCTCTGAATGTATACGCCTATTAGCAGTAGTTACAAGTAGGTTTTTAAAGGAAAAAAAGAGGCCATTCCTAACTTGTTTACTAAGAATTTACATTAAAGTAACCTAAGTTATTGATTGGCTATACATCCTTCTTTGTATTACAAGTTCCAGAAACATGAAGATAATGAGTGAGACAGCTAATCAGAACTGAAATGCCTTTAAACAGCTGCCCCTGGGCTCGGGTGTAGAAGGTACAGCTGAAATCCCATACTCTCATCTCTCTGAGCCTGATTAATTTTGAATACCTCACATATCCCAGACTGCTCTTAGCTATTTTTCTTTTCTCACCATCACTGTAGAAAGTGCTGTTGGGCAGCACTCTTCTAGAGAATGAATTAATCAATCCTTGAGCAAGCCTTTTTTACAATTCCTAAGTATGCCATTGAAAGAAACTATCACCACTCCATTTGCTTTATTTCCAAGTTTTGGATATTTTTTTTCAAACAAAGGAATCTTACAGATATCCTTTTCTATCTTCTCCACCCTTTCCTTCTTTTAATAAAAGGGAATCAGAAAACAAGGATTTGCCTTAGACTCACAAAAGGTATTTATTCCTCACTACTACAGAATTTAGCTGTGCTATTGAATCAGTTCTGTTCCTTCCATCGAGTGAACTAATTAGGACAAATACAAAAAGTAAGAGATTGCATTCTAAATACCTATGTTTTAAAATGTGGAAACTGTTTATCCTTGTATCTAGGTCATCTTCAACCTTCACATAGCAAGAAGAAAGGCACCAAGATGTCGTCATTATTTTACATAATTATTAAGTCACATTTTGGCATAGCAAGAGACTTTGCAGTTTCTTTTCATAAAAAAATGTCTATACTTTTGAAATGTCCTCTATGATGGTTTGGAAACACTTACGTTATTTTTGGATCATGATACTAGGTTGCATCTGTGATTCAATGATTTTGTGTATGTGTTTTTCAGATGTTCAGCAAATGGCAATTGACTGGCTGACCCGAAATCTCTATTTTGTGGACCATGTCAGTGACCGGATCTTTGTATGTAACTACAACGGTTCTGTATGTATCACCCTGATTGATCTGGAGCTTCACAATCCTAAAGCAATAGCAGTAGATCCAATAGCAGGGTAAGAAATTCTTTATAGTGTTTGTTCTAAAAAAGTTTGCATTTAAAAATAAAAGATTGAAGAATGACAAGTGTTGTTGTGGAAAATAAGACTACAGACTTAAACTTTTTAAAAATGTTGATTTTATCAACTGTGTTGCAGGAAGCAAAAAAGGCTATAACTCACCAGGCGGAAGCTGGTGAGTTATTAGCACATGAATATTGCAGGTCTAATGTAAGACACAAATAACCTTCCATCCTTCCTTCTACCTTCCCAAGAATTGCATCGGGGTCGTCAGAGAAAAGCCTCAGCATATTTTTAGGTTAAAGAGAGGAAACTTTTTAGTGCTTAACAAGGAACTTTGTAGTTAGCAAACATCAAGGATGTTACTCGAAGGATGTACTGTTGACATACTTATATCCAGCATAACATTTAGGATTTACAAAAGGGGCACAACATATGTTTACCCGGGTACTAGTAAAACATTAAGAATATCTTTGTTCAGATTCTCTTTACGTTTGGTGACTATATATATATATATATATATGTAAACCCCAATATTATTACAGTGTTAGTGAATTCCTCATCAGAATTCATCTTTTTTTTTTTTAACTTCCCAATGTCTCAAACTACTTTATTGGTTGAATAGAGACCCTCTGACGTTCTTTAGCTAATAGGCTCATTAATCTTTTTACCACATTTCATAATTTGTAAAAATATAGTCATAAAATGTTTACATTCGCTCATATGATTAGAAAATCAATACAGGAATTATGCTCTTATTTTACAAACATGGTGGTATTATTAGAGGGCAGGAGCAAAACTCAGTTCTTTCAGCAGTCACTATTGGACAAGGATACTTTCAAATTAACTACATAGTGTACCACTTTATTTGAAGGGGCTATTATTTTTTTAAGATATAAATTGTAGCAAAGATTTGAAAATTGAAATGCTATCCTTGTTATTGTTTTAATCGTCCTCAGGCAGTTCAGGCTGAAATGTCTGATGGAACATATCCTAAACTGCCATAAGCTTCCATTCAATAAATGGGAAAATATTTACCAAAGAAACAGCTGTCATCCATATGTGGACTTTTGTCACTCTTTACTTAAAGTCTGATTGAATATTAAGATGCATCATCACAATAGTTCTGATTTTGACAAGAACAGCTTGCACGTAAGAACTTTGCTGGGAAGGCTGTGTAATATAATTCTTGAATGTAGCTCTATTTGTATTTGCAGCAGATGGTTACTTGACTCAATCTGACTGCAGTGATGCTTCAAAAGACATTAGGAAAAGAAGTCGTATTTAAACTGATTTGTTTGGGTTGTTGGTTAAGGGTAGTAAGAAAGAATTGGAAATTTACAAACGCACTAACAACATTCTTTTGGCATCCTGTTTAGAAATATATTTGCTTGCATGGTTTTCCCTGGATGTGATAACTGAATTTAAAATTAGCCTTTAGACAGTCTTGTCTGTCAAATGTTAAGAGTTGAAACTATAAAACTGTTGTGTTTTCCCCATTTTTCTACTGCTCTTATCCTTCCCCATTCTTAAAAACAAAGATCCAGAGACCCTTTTCAAATAAAACTGCCAATCTGAAATATATGGGAACACCATCTCCCTTTCTGAACAATATATTTTATGTTCTCAGGTTTCCTATTTCTCCTTGTCATTATATGAAAGAACCATATTTTATCATTTTTGTCAAAGGAATTAAGAGTAGAAAACCCCCACATCGTTTGCTCTTATTCTCTGCTGGATTCCTTTAGGCCTCGTAAGTGTTTAAATGTAATTTTGTCATGTATCATTTATCAGAATAGGTTCTTTGGAATTTTTGTTTGAGTTTGGTCTGTCTCTATAGCACAGTTGTTCAATCATGAATCATAGAAATCAGAGAAGGAAAAGCTTGGCTTTTTTTAATAAATGCAGGCCTGGTTGCCACAGAACACTTTCAAATATATTCTACTTTTCTCTTAGTAACAGAAATTTAGGTAGGATTGATGTGATTCTATCTAAGAACAGAAGAGAAGATTTTTTCTTTAACTTCTACATTTGGGCCTGCTCTAGAATAATTTGAATAGATTTTGGTTAGAAAAACTGCACATGACCTACTAAAGGGGAAATGTTCTGCCCCTAAAATTTCTCTTAGATTTTCCTAATTTTACGGATGATATGTCTTTGGCTTTGCCTATTATAACTTCTGTTCAAAAAATGTCAGAATGTATTCATAATCTGACCTAACTCCTAGAAATTAACATTCCTAGGTTTTAAAATGGAGAAAAATTTGCCTTACCCCCAAATAGGCTGCCTGGAGAAAGTACCTGTTACTTAAGCATACTGTTTTTTTGGAGACAGAGTCTCGTTCTATTGCCCAAGCTGGAGTACAGTGGCTCAATCTCATCTCACTGCAACCTCCGCCTCCAGGGTTCAAGCAATTCTCCTGCCTCAGCCTCCCAAATAGCTGGGATGACAGGTGCCCACCGCCATGCCTGTCTAATTTTTGTATTTTTAGTAGAGGTGAGGTTTCACCATGTTGGCCAGGCTGGTCTCAAACTCTTGACCTCAAGTGATCCTCCCACCTTGGCCTCCCGAAGTACTGGGATTACAGGTGTGAACCACCGCACCTGGCACTTAGGCACATTCGTAACTTCATTTTTCTCAACCTCCTATTCTTTTGTTGCTAAGGACTATTGAAGAAATATAATTTTTTGGTTCTTTTTTGTTTTGTTTTGTTTTTAGTTCTCCGTGGTTTGAATACAGATCATTAACTTTCTCTGGACTCTCATTATGACTTGAGCCAAGCTCCAGTCCCAATCTTCCAAGAAGAGATTTTTAAGTCAACCTTGTTTTTAATTCTTTTAGATTTTTAGATGTGGACATTGACTCATTAATTCAGGCTATTTCCCAGAGATGCTTCTAGAGATTTTCTTCTTCCTTTCAAAAATTTTTAGCAACATTTCCTTTCAGTAGTTCCTTGGAAAAGTTTCCCAAATTATTTCTCTATAGTCATTAGAGTTGGCAGGTAGCATAGAGATCATATTCCAACCAACATCAAAAACTGCATTTCTGTCAGATGGTGATTAGGTCTCTGCTTCTTTAATGGTTAAGAACTTGATGCTGGAGTCAGTCTCACTGAGATCAAATCCTGGCTTCAGCAGTTACTAGCTGTGTAACTTTGGATATTTCTTCTGCCTTTGTTTTCTTATCATAAAAACATGCATTATGATAGCCCTGCCCTGCAGGGCTGTTGAAAGGATTAAATAAGGTCAAATACATAAAGAACTTTAACAGTTTGAGTTGTGCAATATGTGAAGTTTCTTCTTCATTTTGCCACAATGATAATTACTAATATTTTCAACACTTACGATACCATTATGAATAGAATAATGAGACCAATATTCTACCCCATCAAAGATGACCTTTTTCTTTTCAGCCACAATCTCTTTCTACTACAAATCCTTCTAAACATTTCATACAGATTAAATCCATTGTATAATAAAGTGTTGAGGAAAAAAAGGAGACAAAATAAGAAAAAAAAATGAAGTGTAGCCTAGGAAGAAATAAAGATGAAGGGGTATATAAGGTGTAGGAAGAGAAAAGTATGGAGTACCTTTGAGTATGGGTATGTGAACATGGAGGAGGATATTTTTTCTTACCCATCGCCACGCTCTGGCTGAGGCACCTATAATAAAAGACGTATTGATAAGAGAAAAGCATACAAAGGTACTTGTAAAGTTGACGTGACATAGGAGCTATTAGAAATGGAAAACCGTGTGTGTGTGTGTGTGTGTGTGTGTGTGTGTGTGTGTGTGTTTTAATGGAACATTTGATGAAGTGGATAGCTGTGGAGAAGTACGATTCAAAAAAAGGGGCATAATCTAATGATAATCAACTGGGGGAGACTTAGTGAGGCCTGTGTTTCCAGTTTCTTCTCTGTGTCCCCATGTTTTCAGAGATATGGAAGGTCCTTTCCTCCAGGTATAGAGTGGGCTCCTCTCACAAGAGGTTCTTATGACCTACTTCAGAGAAAGGTCAGATAATTTGTTGATGGCCTGCATCAGGCGAGAAGGGACATCTGCTTCTGCTGTTTCCTCAACTGCCAAGGTGCGAGATTTTGGGTTAGCATGTCCTTTGAGGACACCATCACGGAAGATGTAACAGAGGAACAACCTTTTTCTAACAATTGATGTTATGCAAGATATATTTGGATTACTTTCAAGGTCTTTCAAAAGATAAGAGTAAAGAATAAAATTCTATTGTAGTGATTTTTGTCTGTGGAACTGCATTTTTGAACGTGACACTGCTTCAATATTAAACCATTTAGTACTGGGGTCTATTGAGGATTGTAACTGAGGTCAGGGGTGGAGCTGGTCTACAATTTTGTTCCTAAGCTGTGGCCCTCAGCTTTCTACTAAAGTAAAATCATCACCCTAGACTTGAGACAGAGTGCAACTCACTATGCGTGTGAACTTGTTGCTAAAGTATTCTACAAGAGGAGATAATTAAGTCTAGGTGTGATAATTAGTAGAATATTAGAGAAAAAGTAAATAGATATTTTAGTAAAGGTACCAAAGTGAGAGTTAAAATTTTGAGAAAATGTATTTTGGGGGACTAGGGGTACCATTAATAACACCCAAGTTCAAAAGAATTATGTGAGGCTGCTAAACTGAGGGAGGGGGAAGATCTACTTTGTTAAGTAAAACAACAGAAATTAAATATTTCCCAAGGACAATGTATACCCTTTTTCTATGTAGGATAAATCTTTTGACTGGCAGAGTGAATAGCAGAGTGATCTGTAGGATTTATTTGTGAACCCATCACCTCATGTCAATAACAAGGGAGAAGTGTGTTGTCTTTGTTCTATACAAGAGCAGGACATCTGCCAGGAGACGGGAGAGTGAAGCTCATCTCAGAAGTTAAATTCACACAAGAATGATTGACAGTATTGAATAGTTTAAAAAACCCTTTCCCATCACCCACTTGGATCCTTATTGAAGCTAATAATGACTGAGAAATTA